AACTATTTTTCTTGGTCAAGTCTTTATTTTCTCTCTTCTCTTTTGAAGAGAACTAAGCCAGGATTCATTAGTGCTGTGGTAGGGGTGTGCCAGCAGGACACTAGCTAGACTGAGAGAACAGAAAGGCCTGAAGGATCAATGGATTCTAAGGATTTGTGTAAGAAATAAGCAGCTTCTCTATTAATGCAAATCAGATCAAAGGTTAAACCTAAGACACATTTCCTTTATGAAGCCATCCCTGAGTAACTTCCACCACAGTGACTTCCCATTTCTTTAACTCTAGATTTTTCTTTTATTCTCCAACTTTATTGAGGTAGTAATGACAAGTAGGCATTGTACATGTGAAGATGAACAATTGATATTTTGATTGATCTATCTATATATTGAGAAATGATTACCACATTAAAGCTAATTAACATATTTGTCACCTAAAATAGTTTCTTCATCTTTGTGTGTATGTGTGATGAAAACATTTAAAATATTATTTTTTAGCAAATTTCAAGTATACAATACATTATTATTAACTATAGTCACAATGCTGTACAGTAGATCTCCAGAACTTATTTGTTATAGAACTGAAACTTTGACCAGCATCTCCCCAGTTTCCCCACCTCCAGCCCCTGGTAACCACCATTCTACTCTCTGCTTCTATGAGTAACTGTAGAATTTTCAATCTAGTACCACACAATCCAATATTTTCTGTTATATGGTGACCTTGTTTTATTATTTAGTTTCATGACTAAAATATAATAACAGTTACACTACTACTACTAATAATTTTCTGAGCTCTATGTAACTGACAAGGTGCTAAACCCTTCATATACATCATCTCATTTTAATTTCCCCAAACTGTTTCATGTTGTTTCTTCTATGTTTCACATTTAAAAAATAAGGATATGGAGGCTTAGAGAGAGATGTATATCTTGCTCTGTAACTAGTTTGTAAATTCTTAGAGACAATTCATTTAAAAAAAAATCACATCATAGATTTTTAATAGTTGGGGGGAGTTTGGACCAGCAAAAAAGGAGCTCGAATTTTGATTGCCTCTTTTACAAGTTGTGTTAGCTTGGTCAGGTGAATAAAGCTCTATGAGTCTAAGTTATCTGTAAAAGTACAAATAATAATGGCTACTTCATAAAGTTATTGCAACAATTGCATGAAGTATCATATATAATGTGTTTGATGTGGTCTGGCATGTTAAGTATGTGCCCAGTAATTGGTAGTTGATGTAGCTTGTAAACCTTATGTAGTGTTGTAGATGGTTGGGATGCTATGAGTTGCTCCAAAATAATAATAAAAATAAGTAATAATAAAATAATAAAAGGTTATATTGTTGGATATTATTAAATATGTTTTGTCTGGATAAAGGCATAAAGGTCATAAAAAATATATGCCTATACATTATTGAAATACTTGGAATTGCACTGTGTAGTTAGTTAGTTGAGATCTATAATCTATCACCAATCTTTCATTGTAGATGAATAGATCAGTAGCCCTTAAAACACACTGCTTTTAAAAAAATATGTCAATTATTAATTGTTTCACATGGCATTGTAAAAATGAGTAGTGGTAATTTCAACTTTAGTGAAGGTCAGAAGGATGATGCCATCCTGATCTGTGAAATGTTAACTTATGTTGCGAGTTATTTTCAAATACTTTTCCTTATTTATTGCATTGTACCTAAAGGCAATAGATATTCTAAAGTAACTTAGCATAAGAAGAAATGCTGCGTTTTCATCAGGTTCTTCTCTTTTTTCACAGGGGATATCTGTTGAGTGAGTGAACGAATGAATTCATTTGCTTGTCGTCTGAGCACATCTCTGCCTGCTGGTAAGTCCTCCTACTCATTCTGAGGTCTGGTCTCCCTCCACTACTGGCTCCCTTCCATCTGCTTTCCCGTATTCCTGCTCCTACATTTCCTTAGCGTGCAGCCTGTCTGTGACAGCTCTTCTCAGCACGATGGGATGTAGTTATTTCATTGGATCATAGAAATTCAGCTGTACAGCGGTCCTAGGCCAGTCAGTGTGATGTATCCCTAATATCCTGAGTGGTCTTGTGATTTCTGTTGGATGGTTTCTGGGGACTAATTGCTTAAAGCATTCAGAGGCACAAGCCATGCCACTTTGGAAAGGGGGAGATTTTTAGAAAAGAAGTTAAAAATTGTCCTTACATAACTTTTTCCCAGGGGTTCAGATTCTGCTCTGGACAGACAGACACACACGCTCCTCTCTCTTCTATGTGCTAGTCCTTCAAATTTGTGAAAACCCTTGTGCTCCCTCAGGTCTTTCCTTCTTTGTGATGAAAGCGGTGACCTCCCCAAACGCAAATGGCTGAGTGTCGAGACTTGTCACCTCCCAGTTGCTCTAGTTTCTTTCTAAAGTGGGGCTTCCTGAACTGAGTGTGGGGCTGCAATATGATCTGATAGGTAACAAATAGAACACAGCCTGTACCTTCCCCATTGTAGAAATTACACTGTTAATATGGCCAGGATGTACTAGCTTTTTTGATAGTTGTATTATGCTTTTGATTCAAATTGAACTTGTGGCCAATGAAATCTATGTATCTTTCCCTCCACAAATAGTGCAGCCTAAATGTGGCCTTTACAAAAAAAATTGTGGCCTTTATTAAACTTCATATTATTAAATCCAATCCACTCCTGTAGCCCATCAAGATATTTTGTATCATGCTCTCTCTCTTATACTTTTGTATTAGATTCATATCGTATCACAGTATCAGCAGTCAAACCAGTAACAAACACGTTGGTCAGGGCAAAGCTGAGAGCCCATCACTTACTAGAAAGGTCTCTGCTGGTGGGCAGTGAAGCCCGGTGCTTTGGGGGCACCATGGAAAATCCAGCTTGCATGCAATCCAGAACTCATGGGGGTGTCACAGGATGCCACATGTATAACTGGATTTCAGCTAGATTGTGTCTATGCATTTCCAGTTTTCCTGAGGGCAGGGACCATGTCTGTCTGGCTGACTGCTGTCTGCCTGTCCTGTAGCTCTGTGCCTGGCCCATAGCAGGCCTTCTGAACAGCTTTGTTGAATGAATAAATAGAATAACTGAGGAACAAAGGTTCTTCTGGCTTATGGGCTCATGTATTTTTCTCCTCCAAACTCCAATTTTATTGAGATGGCTTAAGTTTTTAAAATGAATCTTTGCTGCCTCATCTCTTCCACTTTTAGGGAATTACTAACTATTTTTCTTGGTTAAGTCTTTATTTTCTCTCTTCTCTTTTGAAGAGAACTAAGCCAGGATTCATTAGTGCTGTGGTAGGGGTGTGCCAGCAGGACACTAGCTAGACTGAGAGAACAGAAAGGCCTGAAGGATCAATGGATTCTAAGGATTTGTGTAAGAAATAAGCAGCTTCTCTATTAATGCAAATCGGATCAAAGGTTAAACCTAAGACACATTTCCTTTATGAAGCCATCCCTGAGTAACTTCCACCACAGTGACTTCCCATTTCTTTAACTCTAGATTTTTCTTTTATTCTCCAACTTTATTGAGGTAGTAATGACAAGTAGGCATGTACATGTGAAGATGAACAATTGATATTTTCATTGATCTATCTATATATTGAGAAATGATTACCACATTAAAGCTAATTAACATATTTGTCACCTAAAATAGTTTCTTCATCTTTGTGTGTATGTGTGATGAAAACATTTAAAATATTATTTTTTAGCAAATTTCAAGTATACAATACATTATTATTAACTATAGTCACAATGCTGTACAGTAGATCTCCAGAACTTATTTGTTATAGAACGGAAACTTTGACCAGCATCTCCCCAGTTTCCCCACCTCCAGCCCCTGGTAACCACCATTCTACTCTCTGCTTCTATGAGTAACTGTAGAATTTTCAATCTAGTACCACACAATCCAATATTTTCTGTTATATGGTGACCTTGTTTTATTATTTAGTTTCATGACTAAAATATAATAACAGTTACACTACTACTACTAATAATTTTCTGAGCTCTATGTAACTGACAAGGTGCTAAACCCTTCATATACATCATCTCATTTTAATTTCCCCAAACTGTTTCATGTTGTTTCTTCTATGTTTCACATTTAAAAAATAAGGATATGGAGGCTTAGAGAGAGATGTATATCTTGCTCTGTAACTAGTTTGTAAATTCTTAGAGACAATTCATTTAAAAAAAAATCACATCATAGATTTTTAATAGTTGGGGGGAGTTTGGACCAGCAAAAAAGGAGCTCGAATTTTGATTGCCTCTTTTACAAGTTGTGTTAGCTTGGTCAGGTGAATAAAGCTCTATGAGTCTAAGTTATCTGTAAAAGTACAAATAATAATGGCTACTTCATAAAGTTATTGCAACAATTGCATGAAGTATCATATATAATGTGTTTGATGTGGTCTGGCATGTTAAGTATGTGCCCAGTAATTGGTAGTTGATGTAGCTTGTAAACCTTATGTAGTGTTGTAGATGGTTGGGATGCTATGAGTTGCTCCAAAATAATAATAAAAATAAGTAATAATAAAATAATAAAAGGTTATATTGTTGGATATTATTAAATATGTTTTGTCTGGATAAAGGCATAAAGGTCATAAAAAATATATGCCTATACATTATTGAAATACTTGGAATTGCACTGTGTAGTTAGTTAGTTGAGATCTATAATCTATCACCAATCTTTCATTGTAGATGAATAGATCAGTAGCCCTTAAAACACACTGCTTTTAAAAAAATATGTCAATTATTAATTGTTTCACATGGCATTGTAAAAATGAGTAGTGGTAATTTCAACTTTAGTGAAGGTCAGAAGGATGATGCCATCCTGATGTGTGAAATGTTAACTTATGTTGCGAGTTATTTTCAAATACTTTTCCTTATTTATTGCATTGTACCTAAAGGCAATAGATATTCTAAAGTAACTTAGCATAAGAAGAAATGCTGCGTTTTCATCAGGTTCTTCTCTTTTTTCATGGTTTTACTAATAAACCATGACCACTGCCTTTTTCTTATCCTCTCAGAGAACACCCAGGACAGTGATGACAAGAAAGTGGTTGCAGAGATCACGGCGAGGCGTTTCGTCCCAGCTTCAGTGACAACCACCTCCTGGGAGGAATTTCGTTTCGTGGGTCACGAGATCCGGATCTCGGAAGCTGTGGACTGCTACGGTGCTGTGGTGTGGCCGTCGGTACCACTTCATACAATACTTGCTACATCCCCGTTATTTTCATTTTTTGTTCCTTACTTTGTAAGAAGAAAATGGTTTCATAGTTCTATTTTGTGACCTCAGACAACATTAAATTTAGAACTCACCAATTTGGGGAAATGGTTCCGCCCATTAGTTCGATTTCTGACTTGTAGGGTCAATAAGGAGTGTTATTTACACCTTTGGTTTTTTTGTGATCATAGGAGTTTAGAGTAGTAAATATTTTCATTTCCCATTTAACCGGGGCCATTTGAATTAAGGAATTATAATGAAATCTGTATCAGTCTCAACACACAGACTATTCTGATAGGCCACCAGTCCTTTACCAATCATCCCATGAAAGGTACAGACCCCCAGCCCCACACACCCCCAGTCCACATATTTCTCTGAAATGATTAGTATTATTAGAAGTCGATTTCTTTAAACATAATCAAACATAAGCGAGTGAATTCCATATTTTTAGTTCTATTTTCTCCCCAACAGTCCCTAAGGACTTCTTCTAGCCTATATGTTAAACCTGTTAGAGGATGCCCCTCTGTTGTTAATTTAAAACTCATTTACATACATATCGTAGCATCAGTGGGACAGTTACCTAATAGAGTTTAAGTTTACTTTCTGTTATTACTTGCCAAACACAGCTTTCTTCTTTTTTTAAACTTTCATAGGCCCTTGTTCTATGCTACTTTCTGGAAACAAGTGTAAAGCAGTATAATATGGTTGACAAAAATGTGATTGAAATTGGAGCTGGAACAGGGCTAGTCTCCATCGTGGCAAGTTTACTTGGTAAGTAGGTACTTTTCGTTAACTGGGATCAAAGTATTTAATGATCAGATATCATTGGTTGCTTTTACTATGCAATTTACTAGGACCTAGGCCTATTTTTAGCTCTTTTGTAGTTTGAACAGGCTTCATTAAGAAACTCTACCAATTTTGAGATCACCTTGCTGGTTTCTTTCAGAATTGTCTGCAAAGTTGTATTAATTCTTCTTCTGGAGGGCTAAGTCACAAGTGTATTCTAATCTGGGGCTGCATGTGAGCCTCCTGGCTGCTCAAGGAGATGTGTGAAAAATTAGGCATAGGCGGAATCTACTGCTGCTGACTCTGAAGTTCTTTATTTAAATTTATCCATATTCCAACTTTCCCGTGTAGCTATATATTGCTTTTGGGTTTTTGAAGTCCTATGCTTTTGTGAAAAAGCACGCGTTGGAATAGAATAAGCATGTTAGAAATCATGTCTGCTTCTCGTTTTAGGCGCTTGCCCCTGCATTTATGTTCTCAGTTCATTTCTGTTCTTCATTTGCAATCCCTTGTTCTCTCACCAGCATCTTCTCTTCCAACTAAATGTGTGAAGGTCTCTGTATGCCGGAGCCTGCTTCAGTTCCGTCTTTTTGTTGTTATTGATTTCATTGCCTTAATTTAGCAGCCTTCTCTGATGTGTACTACCCAAATTGTCTTGATTTCCTTGATCTTCAGAAGTGCACACCTGCCACTCTGAAATCTTGAGAGGAATTCAAGATGTAGTGATTTACAACTTTCTAGATGTGGGGGAAATGTAGGAGCCTTGAAGACTTTCCCCAAATATTTAGTTTTAAATTGCTCTATCCTGATACAACTTTCCAAAGTCACCATTCCATTTAATGTGGGCAGAGCCAGAGGGACGGTTGGGTTCACATCTGAAGGTTTCCTAATCTAAGAGCAGAATTTGTGTTTTGGGAAGTCACTAATTTAGTTAAAAAGAATTGATCCTTTCAGTTTGCTTGTATAATTTCACACAAATGTCAAAAGATGGAAGCTTTTTTAGTCAGTATTTTAAAATGGTGGTGTTTGACTTTCTAGACACAAAGATCTGAATAGTCAGTTTATATTTGCTATTCATTATTCATATATTTATTATGGGTAGAAGGCTGGTCCTTCTCGTTGGATTTTAAAAAATTTGTTGAAAATGATAGACCCGTCCACACTACAAAGTGAAGATTCATATTTCTGTGATTCTACCAATGATAGGCATTTTTCCCTCCCATTTTAATATTCTCCTTGAAATACAGTCAATGGCCAGAGAAGCTTGCCATCATGGCTGAAGAATGGGTTCTAAACTGGTCTGGGCTGAACTAGATTTCCAGTTCCGCTTTCCCATTCCTTCCCCGTATCTGGTTCTTGTCTGATGATGTGGAACTGGCCAACAGTAGATTTATTTCCACATTCTTTTCAGGCTCTGCTACTTCTCAAAGTTCACTGTAAGGGCCAGTTTTATTAGTTATTGGTTTCTACAATTTTGCCTCTTCCAATTTCTTCCTGAAAATGTCTACCACTGTTCACTTTTAATTCAGAAATTGTTTATATCTTATTCATCCAAGCATTCTATCCTGCCTCTGTGGTCTTTGGCTATTTGAGCACTAAGGTTGATTTTAAACAACTTTTGATGGAAAGATTCACCCTTATAATGGGGTCAAGCTGAAAACTTGGGCATAAGCATGGATGTCATGGTACTTCCAATGGAATACCATTGAGAAGTCATCTCCCCCCCTCCACTTCTCACACCTGAGCATGTGTTCAGCGGTAGGATGCCCAGTGTTACATACTCATTCTGTCTCACATGACTGGGGGTCAGAATTCTTTTAAAGAACTTGTTTCATCTTTTAACAATGACTTCTGGTTGTACCAGTTAGGGTTCCAAATATTTTGAATTTCCCTTTTCTTGCTTATCCCCTAGCATGTAGGAGATAAATAGAAAATAACAACAGCAACAATAATAAAACAACTAAAAGCCAGGAAAAGAGAAAAATGCAACAGAGTGCAAAAGTACCATGGTAATTAATTTTTTTTTCTAAGGGGAGGCATACAGTTGTCATAGCATGCATTTTGAAAGGGATTTTCCTCTGTGAGTACTAATCAGCCTTGTTCCTGGTGTGAGCAATTGTGCAAAACTGCAAATGCTTGTTGGCTTGAAACCTGATGGCTTTATCTTATCCCATGGGGTTTACTTTTCCTCTGTCCTTTGTTTCATAGGTGCTCATGTCACTGCCACAGACTTACCTGAATTACTTGGAAACCTGCAATATAATATTTCACGAAATACCAAAATGAAATGTAAACATTTACCTGAGGTTAAAGAACTCTCCTGGGGCATAGCTTTAGACAAGAACTTCCCCAGGTCTTCCACCAATTTTGACTATATCCTGGCAGCCGATGTGGTCTATGCTCATCCTTTTCTAGAAGAACTCCTCATTACCTTTGACCATCTGTGCAAAGAAACCACCATCATCCTCTGGGTCATGAAATTCAGGTTGGAGAAAGAAAATAAATTTGTAGATAGATTTAAGGAGTTATTTGACCTGGAGGAGATTTTTAGTTTCCCTAGCCTGAGTATTAAGTTGTATAAAGCTATGAAGAAAAATCAGAGGAGTATATGATACCTTCAAGGGAGAACCTGGGAAGTGAAGACAATTTCTATTAGATTAGTAAATCTAAAAGACCTTAAAGGTGACCCTGGATTATCTGATGGAGACTGACTTTCCCAAGGGAACACTTACACACACATACACACAGACACACACACACACACACACGCCTCACCCTAGACAGGATTTTCCTAGATACAGCAAATGGGTCTGGGGTGTGGCAAAGCCATACTGTGTGGTCATTGGTTAGGACAATGTCTGCTTTCCTTATCCCACCTATTACTGTCATTTTAATAAGTGGTACATTTATTGTTATTTTAATGTATTATTGTAGAATTATGGTTTTTAGTAATGATACCCCTAACATGAACATTATTCTTGTTTTAAACATAATCTTAAATTATTCTCTTTGGAAATAAATGGACTATAGTGGGATCTCCAAAGAAATCTGAAAGGCTAGATGCATAATTAATGGTAATGCTAGCTTATTGTGGTTTTTATTAATGCGAGGTGGTCTGTCGTCTCTCCTTGGCAGGGTGGCCCCCTGGCACAGCCTCTGGCATCCACCAAGCTTGTGGATTTGAGGTTATGAGCAAGGACATTTTACTCTAGGAAATGAAAAATGAATGGAAGCAAGCATAAAGACAGTTGAGATTTTAGAAGAGTTATTGTTTTATTTTTAAGCCAGTACATTTATTTTATATCACAGAAACAGAAATAAATATAAAATCTTTGTGTTGAGAAAACATGCAGAGAGGTTTAGGCCCCTAATCTCAAACCAGACATATAGTTGGTTTTAAAGTTTAAAGCACTTCTGATGAACACATATAGAGCTAGATATTTGAAATCCTACTTGATTTTTTTCACATGGACCTTAGAGATTAGAATGAAGTCTGAAATAATTAAAATCAGTGCAAGGAGAGCAAAAAATTAGGATTTTGCCACAGGCAGGGAGACCTTATCAGTTGGTAACTCTTTATGTCCTCACTAATGCTCCTCAGGCTGTCACTGCGCCCTCTGGTGGCACTTGCTCTCGAAGCCTAGCCCTTTCTGCTTTGCTGGAAGTTCTGGTACACTCAGGGTGAGAAGAGCTGAAAAGGTTATTTCCCAGGGCCCTGACCTGTAAGACAGGACACATACGTACACCTGGCGGATTTTTTGGTGTGTGTGTTCGTAGAGGACTGGCTCTCAGGAATTCCCAGTGTGGGCACAGCTCTTCCCAGTTCTTACCTGTTATTCCAGACACTCATTCAATCGTCACAGCCATTCGGAGACGTCTAGATAACACATTGTCCCCACTTCCAGACAAGGACTGAGGCTGAGAGTGAGGGGTCCCAGGTGCAGGGGGGCAGCGCGGGGCACTCCGATCCAGGCTGTTTGAGTCCAGAGCCCGTGTACTTTACCATCGCGCTGCCTTTATGTATGTACAACAGTAGTTCTCAAATGCTTTCGTAAATGAGAGAAGTCCTTTCTTCAAAATGAGTTCAGGACCCAGAAGGGTAAGCAAATGCATTATGAAAAGATGAGAACTGCTTCTCTTTAAATCTTTTTCTAAATTGGGTGGTTAGGGCAGGCTTGTTGAGAAGGTGGCATTTAAGCCAAGCTGGAGGGAAGAAGCAGGTATCTGCGGAAGTGCGGTGCAGGCAGGAGGGACAGCCGGCCAGGGCCTGCAGGCAGGAGCCCGCCGGTCCTCAGGGAGGAGCGTCAGAGGCTCTTGGAGCAGGGTGAGCGGGGGGCCTGCAGGACACGAAGTTAGGGAGGCCGTAGCAGGAGACCAGGTCAGACCTTGGCCGTACTGGGGTTCTCCGGAAGCAGCCTCTGTGGTGGAATTCAGTGTGTGGGTCAAGACCTGCAGAAAGGAGGGGAAGGAATAGGCCAGAAGCAGAGGTCAAGCTGCAAGGCAGGCCCAGCCAGAGCCTCAGCTGACCCCACGTGGGGCACTGGAGCTAGAGTGGCCTTTCAGAGTCATCCTGGGTGGGGTGAGATGTCTGGGCCTTGATAGCCCCATGTCACTCAGTCACTAGACGTGGGCGACCCAGGAAAGCTCTGTGACCTTGGTGAGGTGACCCTCTTTGGCTGAGACAATCTCTGAAGGTGTTGACAGCCGAGGCCGTCTGCCAGGAACAGTTCCCCAGCAGGGCGGTCATCATTGTGCAGGGGATGTGAGCAGCACGTCGACCGCAAGGCCGTCGAGAGAACTTGGGCTTCTCCCCTGGTGCCGTGGAGCACCGCCAGATGGATCGGAGTAGAGGAGAGACGGAGTACCACTCATGTAAGGACCACTGTGGCTGCTGTCCTGAGAAGGCTGTGAAGAGGCAAAGAGACAGTTGGGGCAGCCACCCAGGCAAGAGTGGGTGGCAGGGAACGTGCCTGGAGGTGGTGAGAAGGGGTCGTTTCTAGATGTGCTCAGAAGTGAGAGCCAGCCGATTCCCTGCCATGTTGAAAGGAGTGAGGAAGGACAGGGGACTAGGCTGACTAGCGTTTGATCGGAGCTACTGGACGTAAAGTTAGAGTCATCGGCGTAGGAGTGGCTGGTGAAGCTCATTCGGGGAGCGGAGGAACAGACGGAATGAAAGGGACGGAGCCCAGAGGCTCGTGCATCTGAGACATTTTTAGAGGTTCTGTCCCCTGCCAGGAGTTATATTAGGATCTGTTGACTCCTAAAGATATGAATTTGCTACCCCAGTGATTTTTGAACTGGTCAGCAGAGTTCTGAGTCTCCTCAAAGCTGCCTCAGGCTTCTAGGAATGTCTTCGGTGTGGCAGCAGGAATCTTGGGGTAACGAGGAAAAAAATGGCTCCTTTGCTAACAAATGTTTGAATGTCACTCAAGCTATTTTTAGGTAGAATAGGTAAAGTGTCCTTTCAAAGACTGTGTGAGGACCAAGCCACCCATGCGGCTCCTAACAGAGCCTCTCTCTCTGAGTGTCAGTCTGTCGGATCCCTGTTTGGTGCCCGTTGTCTGACCCTGTGTGCAGCACCCCCACCCCCAAGCTCTGGGCTCTCCCTCCCACTCCATTTGGCGAGTTGTCTGCTTTTATCTTTTCATTGTAGTTCCTCCACACTTGTCTAGATTTAACTTTACAATAATTTAATTTCAAAAGATGTAATTTGAATAGGCTTTTTCTATCTTACAATTTTTTTTATGGTTAGAAATTGATTTGTTAACTTTAATCCAACTGAGTTTATGGTGAATTTTGCCCGTATTCCCCTTTTTTCCTTTTTGGGCAAGTTAAACTATGCTACTGTAAACCTCACTCCAATTCTTGCAGTAACTTTCCAGGTTTCTAATCGAATAAACACTCTGACTGTTAAAGCTTTATAATAGAGTTTAGCACAGAATAGTTATTGCTTCACAGTAGACATACCACTTTGCTGGTAATACTTGTAGCTTAAAACTTGCATGTTACGTACATGTAACCACAAGAGTTTATATGTTATGTTAATATAATCATGAGAGCTTACATGTTATATACATGCAACCATGAAGGTTTTTGTGCCCCAGATTGTATCAACTTACTTTAGGAAACTAAGTCCTAAACTAAAATCTGTCCTAGCATTTACTGATATATTCTATTTCATTTGTACCAATTTTACCTAAGGGTATTTTTAAAAATTGATTTTTGTTCCATATTTATATTTTGCTCTCTTTTTTGGATAAAGAATCATGGCATTGATAACTTATTAGCAGATTTGGAGCCAATAATGTGAACTCCTTATTGTGGAAGAAAAAAAGATAAGGAAACATAACAGAATGAAGTGTTCCTTTTTTTTCACCCTCTAAATCTTTGGATTCCAGGAGTTTGGTGTTCTGTCTGAATGCCCAACCCTTATGGACAGAGACTGCGGCCCAACTTGTTTTAAGCAGTACCATTGGCATGTGAGCACATAAATAATTTCTGAATATCCTTTGGAAGTAAAACATGTCCATGGGGTAGGATTTTGATACAAGAAAAGATTTCCATGTACTAATTCTGAAACCAAGCTGGGGACCTTAGATTCTAGAAATAAAATAAAGTCAACCTTAAGTGGATCAGAGAAGTAAGCTTTTTGATAAGAACAGAAGAAAATAATATACGGTGCCTCTTCTTTTGACTCTGTTTAACTTAGTTTTCATGGATATCTGCATGTGGAGGAAGTAAAAAATTGTCATATATGTGCATAGCTTTCCACTAAATTATAAGGAAACAGTAAGAAATACCAGGAACAGAGCAAGTAAATACTTTCAAAAACTATAGGGAGATACGGGAAAAACAAAATCTAAAAACCAAAGACATTTGTGAGTTTATTTCCGTATGGACCTAATTCTTTATGTCTTCTTTGTGAAGCCTGGAAATGGTTCACAAGTAATTTCCACATCCAGGTTTTGGTATTTTTTAGTTTGTGATGTAAAATTAAGTCTACAATATTTACCCGCAAGCCTGATTTCAGTATTTGCTCTGCTTCCAAGTTCCATACAAAATCAAAGACAGTGTTCTGTATAACTGTGTGCTGTACAGCTGTCTTAGGTGGCCTAAGGCAGCATCCATCAGCTCTGTGGTCATATTAACTCCTTGTACTAAGAGCTCCTGCGCAGGACATTCATGTTTTCCCAGGCTGTGCATAGCTGTGCGGTGTTGAGATTGCTGGGCACACACCATTCTATTGAACTCACCTTTGGCCTCTATTAGGAACAGTTCTTTTATTGGGGAAGCTCACAGGCAAGAGTTTTTTCCTCTCCATTTCTTCAATTCCTTTGTTTCTAAGGCAATTGTCTTTCCTTGAAATGCACTCAAATTTCAGAACTGGCACTCACACATCGAGGAATTTAAAAGCGTTAAAAACGAAAACAGATGTCTAGGTCAATTTTGTGATAAATGGCCTTAATAGAAAAAAAAATACTTGAGAAGTATTGGATATCTCCTGCCAACTGCTAACATTTTACCATAACAAAAAATATTGTAAAGCCCATGCTGAATAAGATTAAAATAAGCCATTAAAAATATTTCAGTAGTCAGGCATTATTTCATAATGTTACAAATGGCAGGATGCAAGGTTTCTGAAAATTACTCGTTTGGTAAATGCTAGATTTTGCAGTTAGGTTTTGAAAATTTTCATGTTTTCAGTGTCCACAATCTGTATATCTATACTCTTTGTTTTAATTTTAAATTATGAGTCAGCCCCTTACCTTCCCTTGATTTTTTTTAGTGTCATGATTTAATTTGGGTTTCTTATCTCTTCCTGTGTTTCCTTTGTTGGAAGAGTATAAATCACGATGGCAAAGGTTGTCTCTTTGTCACAAACCATCATAAATAAGCCTAAAGAACAGGCCATAAAAATGAAAGAAATCCTGAGATTAAAAAACATGAGTAATGTTTTCTGCCCACCTGGTGTTCAGAGGTAAAAGTACAGTTTGCAACTAGTAAATTATTAACACTTTTCTAGCCAAGGATTTCCTTCTTCCCTGGGATCTATGTGATTAGCAGGTAGTCATTTTAAGAATGAGAAGGGTGTCAAACATGGTAATAAACACAGTTAAATAATTGTGTATTAAAAAGAGGAATTGAATAATTATATAATTATAATTAGTTATTAATGATACAATTATAATAAATGTCTAATAAGACTGTGCAGCATTCTTGGGGTGGAGGGAGCAAAGCGCTAGAGTTCTTAGCAACAGATTTCATGTTTGCTTGAGGTAAATTCAAGGAGGCTTAAAGGCAATTATAACGATACAAAATAACTAACACAACTACATTTTAGTTTCCTTAGATTTTATTTTTTCTTCAGTAGGAAGCCATCTAGAGGCATTCATTCATCCATCCATCCATCCATCCATCCATTCATTCATTCATTCAGTATTTATTTATTGAAAACCCACCATATGCCAAGCAGGGCCTGTGGACACACAGTGACCAAGGTAGACGGGCCAGTACTGGGGACTTAAAGTTCAGTGTGAATGGGGAGAATAGGCAAGTCAATGTGCAGCAGGGGAAGAGACACATTTCCAAAGCAGTTAGGTGTCCTGACAGGACAGAGCCTGTTCCACAACCAGGGAGTCACTGAGGGCTTCCTGGAGGAGTAACCTGTGGCTGGGCACAGGAGATGCAGAGTTGGGGTTCCACTCTGGACAGAAGGAACAGCATGTCCGAGAGTGACCCGACTGAACGACTCGCAGGAAAAATTGTTGCTTCTATCAACCCCTGCAGGAATAACTCCGTTTATGGGGTACGCACTACTGTTGACTCTGCTTTAGATGTTTCACGTGTCATTCTCACCAAATGCCACTAATACCCTAGTGGTATTAGCCCAATTTACATATGAAGAAACTGAGGCTCGGTGAGGGAAAGCAGCTTCTCCTAGGTCACACATGTCTGTGGTTGGGATGGGGGCCGCCATCCCTGTGGTGTCCGAAGCTGGTGTTCATTTCTGGGATTACTGCCTCATGTCCATTTTGCATGCTGAGCCCTGCAAGAAAATCCTGAATTTGAATTTTATTCTAGCTAATCTGGAGCGATCACATTTAGTGACTTAACTGCCTCCAGAGCACAAATTGGCTCTAGTGGGATACCACTGAGATGTGCCTGAAAGAGATGAACTTTTCATAATATATGAGGACGAGTATGATTTTTTAAAATGTATGTAGATACCCAGCAAATACTTAAATAAAACTTTCTTTGCGTGGAATATTGGACAAAGATCAGTAACTTTAAAGATATATAGTGACCTTAAAACAGCGAGCTTGGGGGTAAAAAAAGGACCTTCTTATATAAAGGGGGTCCTGAAGTGGAAGCAAAAGCTGTTTCTCTTTTGAAGGGTGGCTTTGGCAGAAAGAAGTGACGGAGGTGGAGCGTGCCCTCAGATGACTCTTCAGCAGAAAGGCAAGGGGTTGGGGTTGAACTTTAAAACATCATCTGATCTGTTGATGAGGCTAGTGTTTACAGGCCCGTTACCAGGAGGCATCAGCATGGAGTTAAGCCGCTGGGTGACTGGTGCACACCACTTCCCAGAAACCACCTTCCTGTAGTCTGTCAAGGTGAGGGGGATACTGACCCAGCAGCGTAGCCTCTGAAGCCAGAGAAGAGGGCAAAAGTCTGAGGGGCAGACTGGACATTCACCAGTATCTGCACCAGTATCTGTCCTAAGTGGAAACGGCCCTTGGCGTCCATTAGCCTGAGGTTCATCGGATGACAGTCCCCTCGATTCTGGGAGGTCGGTATCACAGAAAAGCCCCAAAGCCTGGCGGAAGACCTCGGCAGGTGGCAGGATGTTTGAGGGAAAGCCGATGCAGCTCAGTGTGTGCTTCCATAATGTCAGAGGAGGGCAGGCTGTCAGAGGCTGTCATCTGGGGGAGAAGCTCAGGGCTCCCTGCCCGTTGCCACTGGAGAGCTATGTAAGCGAGTAGTCATGGAATGTTCCAGAATCAAGAGGAAGGAAAACCATGTATCTAAAACTTCTGGTGACATGGCTGCCCTGGGCAGGCAGTCACAACTTTAAAGGGAGGATAAGTGTCTCTCTGATAGTCTCTTTACCGTATATATTCCTGGTTGATGGTTCCATTGACCAGCAGAAGCCGTAGCCTGCTGACTGACATTTCTGCTGAGCAAGTGACTGAATATGGAGTCTGGCAAATGCAAGAAGTTGAAGCTAACATCTAAGGAAATTTCAGCTCGGATGCCAATACATATAATCTGCCTCAGATGAAAAGCTTGCTCTGATTTCATCTTATGCTTCTACCAACAAAGTAAAAGCTAAGGATTGGTCACCATTTCTCCAAAGCTCCTGGAATAAAATCTGAGTCTGAAATTGCCTAATATTGCCACTGGGAGGCCCCAGTGATCTACTAAATGAACTTTCTCTTCTGAATAAATAAGCAAAAATAAAAGAAATGGTTTAAACAAGTGAATTGAATTATGAAAGATTATATGCAAATGCATCAAAAGCGGTAAGGGGTAAATACACAACAGTATAATGTGATAAATAGGAGGTGCCATTCTCCTTAATTAGGGATTGTTTAAATTCCACCCCTTGCTTCAACCCTGTGCACATATTATGAAATAAACTCTCTGAGAAAAGGAAAAGTGAGGACTGGTTTCCATTTCCTTGACTGCTATACAGGTGTTCATTGGACTGCGTGTGTGTGTGTGGCAGGGGAGGGGTGAGGAGAGGCGTGTAAAGGAGTGGAGAGAGAGCTAGTTAAGACGATAATAGTAGATATGGCCTGAGGAGAGAAAATGTGGCCAGACTTAGCAGATTTTGATTTCTTATAATAATACAGTGGTTCTCAAACATGGGCATGCATCAGAATCGCCTGAAGATTGTTCAACATGAGCTGTGCCCCAAACCTGGAGTTTCTGATTGAGTAGATCTGAAATGAGGCCTGAAAAACTTGTATTTCTAGCATGTACTCAGCTCTGGGAACCCCACTTTGAGAACCACTGCTGTCATACATTACACTCCAACCTTCAGGGTTAATCATTTGAGAGTAGGGTCTTCTGGCATAGAAGGGAGATGGTTCAATCTGATTCCACTACTGTATCCTCTATTCATTGTCTTCTGTAACTGATGATTCACATCTTAAAAACCAGTCTCTTCCTGGAGCAAACCCTCTCCCCAGGAGGCCTGTGAACTGCCCAGGTGAATTATTATAGGCTCCATCCTTTTCAGTTGTTGGGAAGACAGCTTTGTTCAACTTTGCATGATACAGACTAACCTTTTTGCTTGCACTTAATATACTTTTATGTTTATGCTCCATTTGTGTTCATTTTGAGTATAACAGTTTAAGGATGGTTATAAATAGGCTATGAGGTGAAGAGGGGGTGAGAAAAACCATACAGAGATTATTTCATGTCAAAGACTAAAGGGATGTGTCTTGATATTCTAGCTTGGGGACTCTGAATATAAAATGCTTCTAAGCTATTAAAGAACAGACAGTGACAATGTTGAATTTTATTGCTATGGCATGTAATAGCTCCATTTTCAGACAGGCTCTTAATTAAAATGTGTTGATGCTCGTAGTATGAAAGACTTGACTCCCAACCCTTATATTGTCTTTGGAGGGAAAGTTCTGATATATGCAAATTGTGATAGCATTTTGGGTAGGGTTTGTGGTGGTGCAAAGGAGTTTGTCAGCTTGGGCTGGGGGTGGGGAAGGTCAGCTCAGGAGAGTTTTTAATTTCTTCCCTGTGGAAGTGTGTCTGGGCAAGCACCCTGTCTGTCACCTACCTTCACTACCTGCCAGGTAAACTAGAAAATTGGTGAGATTTTTTTTTTCACCACATGTGAATTATTCTGATGGTGGGGTATAATATTTTTGTCTTTTCAAATTTGTGATGAATTTGAGTCATACTTTTCCATGAAATTGGCACACTAATACCTCTGTCTAGATGATCTCCATGAAGTCATTTGAAAAACTAAAATTCATCATCATCATTGTAAAAGATAATTTAAAAGTAAAAGCAACTAGAAGATTCTGGGAGTGGGGGTGGAGGGAAGTGTTCGTTTTCTCTTCCTGAACATGAGCACAAACTCATCATGTCGAAAAATGCTGGCTCCGGACCTTGGCCATCAATCAGGACCCCTGTAAAGCTTTACACAAATGCTGTTTCCCTGGCCTTGCCTCAACCCACTGGATTAGAGCCCTCAGGGGTTTGGGTGAGTGCATTTTGGTGCAGATCTGTATTTTTTAAAGCTCCCCACAAGATTGTGTTGATTAGCTGTGTTGAGGGAAGTATTGGTCTGGTTATATGACCAGTCATGGCCAGGTTGTCCCACTTTGGCTTTTACTGCACTCCTCATGGCTTGTGAGTTACTGAATCACCGTGAATTCCAGGTTTTCTCATTGCATGTAATTGCTAAATAGAGAATTTTCCACATGAAAGCTTCCAATTGTATTGAAAACACCCTCCAACATATTCTAGGATAAATTTCCCTGGAGTTCAGACCATACAGATTAATTAATTGTTTTTGGAGGAAAGAAAACATCCTACCTCATCTCAGCACTGGAATATTAATTGATCTAATCAATAGGAATTGGAGTATTGCCGTGTTAAACACAAACTACATCCTTTGCTCAGTGAGTCACCGCACCACCATTTTCCAAGAACCCAAGAACTTTGGCCTCCCGAACAGTGGCTCTGCTTTTCCCCAAGCAGAGGGCAGTAGCTATCCAGGAAGTAAGAGGCAGCAGGGAGATGGGTGAGGCTAAGGGGAAAAGCCCAGGGTAACTGCACAGGCTCCCAGGGCAGGCGCTCTCCCCGGTCCTCGACGCCGGCAGCAGCGCTTACATTTCCACTCTTAGTGTCAGTAAGTTGGATGGCGGAACAAAAACCTAACAGCAAAGCCTAGCATTATAGGAAAACAACATTCCGTGAAAAGATATGTAATGTGTAAAGAGTATACGGCATGTCTGTGTATTATTTCTTACAACTGCATGTAAATCCACAATTATCTTAAAATAAAAAGTTAAGAGTGTGTGTGTGTTCAGATGTATTTATTTATATGGGGGCGATGCACATAAAACCTTGTTGTCCTTTGCCTTCCGCATGCCCCTCCACTATATGTGGACATCTGGGATGCATGTGGGGAGCCTCCAGAGGTGCAGTGCCCAGGTTACAGGGTCACTGA